AACGCTGGGTTTCATGAACATAGCAAAGCTCAGACAACTGAGAATAGAGACAGCCGGCTAGGTCATTGTCGTAACGCTGGGTTTCATGCACATAGCAAAGCTCAGACAACTGAGAATAGAGACAGCCGGCTAGGTCATTGTCGTAACGCTGGGTTTCATGAACATAGCAAAGCTCAGACAACTGAGAATAGAGACAGCCGGCTAGGTCATTGTCGTAACGCTGGGTTTCATGAACATAGCAAAGCTCAGACAACTGAGAATAGAGACAGCCGGCTAGGTCATTGTCATAACGCTTGGTTTCATGAACATAGCAAAGCTCAGACAACTGAGAATAGAGACAGCCGGCTAGGTCATTGTCGTAACGCTGGGTTTCATGAACATAGCAAAGCTCAGACAACTGAGAATAGAGACAGCCGGCTAGGTCATTGTCGTAACGCTGGGTTTCATGAACATAGCAAAGCTCAGACAACTGAGAATAGAGACAGCCGGCTAGGTCATTGTCGTAACGCTGGGTTTCATGAACATAGCAAAGCTCAGACAACTGAGAATAGAGACAGCCGGCTAGGTCATTGTCGTAACGCTGGGTTTCATGCACATAGCAAAGCTCAGACAACTGAGAATAGAGACAGCCGGCTAGGTCATTGTCGTAACGCTGGGTTTCATGAACATAGCAAAGCTCAGACAACTGAGAATAGAGACAGCCGGCTAGGTCATTGTCGTAACGCTGGGTTTCATGAACATAGCAAAGCTCAGACAACTGAGAATAGAGACAGCCGGCTAGGTCATTGTCGTAACGCTGGGTTTCATGAACATAGCAAAGCTCAGACAACTGAGAATAGAGACAGCCGGCTAGGTCATTGTCGTAACGCTGGGTTTCATGCACATAGCAAAGCTCAGACAACTGAGAATAGAGAGAGCCGGCTAGGTCATTGTCATAACGCTGGGTTTCATGCACATAGCAAAGCTCAGACAACTGAGAATAGAGACAGCCGGCTAGGTCATTGTCGTAACGCTGGGTTTCATGTACATAGCAAAGCTCAGACAACTGAGAATAGAGACAGCCGGCTAGGTCATTGTCGTAACGCTGGGTTTCATGTACATAGCAAAGCTCAGACAACTGAGAATAGAGACAGCCGGCTAGGTCATTGTCGTAACGCTGGGTTTCATGTACATAGCAAAGCTCAGACAACTGAGAATAGAGACAGCCGGCTAGGTCATTGTCGTAACGCTGGGTTTCATGTACATAGCAAAGCTCAGACAACTGAGAATAGAGACAGCCGGCTAGGTCATTGTCGTAACGCTGGGTTTCATGAACATAGCAAAGCTCAGACAACTGAGAATAGAGACAGCCGGCTAGGTCATTGTCGTAACGCTGCGTTTCATGCACATAGCAAAGCTCAGACAACTGAGAATAGAGACAGCCGGCTAGGTCATTGTCGTAACGCTGGGTTTCATGAACATAGCAAAGCTCAGACAACTGAGAATAGAGACAGCCGGCTAGGTCATTGTCGTAACGCTGGGTTTCATGCACATAGCAAAGCTCAGACAACTGAGAATAGAGAGAGCCGGCTAGGTCATTGTCATAACGCTGGGTTTCATGCACATAGCAAAGCTCAGACAACTGAGAATAGAGACAGCCGGCTAGGTCATTGTCGTAACGCTGGGTTTCATGTACATAGCAAAGCTCAGACAACTGAGAATAGAGACAGCCGGCTAGGTCATTGTCGTAACGCTGGGTTTCATGTACATAGCAAAGCTCAGACAACTGAGAATAGAGACAGCCGGCTAGGTCATTGTCGTAACGCTGGGTTTCATGTACATAGCAAAGCTCAGACAACTGAGAATAGAGACAGCCGGCTAGGTCATTGTCGTAACGCTGGGTTTCATGTACATAGCAAAGCTCAGACAACTGAGAATAGAGACAGCCGGCTAGGTCATTGTCGTAACGCTGGGTTTCATGAACATAGCAAAGCTCAGACAACTGAGAATAGAGACAGCCGGCTAGGTCATTGTCGTAACGCTGCGTTTCATGCACATAGCAAAGCTCAGACAACTGAGAATAGAGACAGCCGGCTAGGTCATTGTCGTAACGCTGGGTTTCATGCACATAGCAAAGCTCAGACAACTGAGAATAGAGACAGCCGGCTAGGTCATTGTCGTAACGCTGGGTTTCATGCACATAGCAAAGCTCAGACAACTGAGAATAGAGACAGCCGGCTAGGTCATTGTCGTAACGCTGGGTTTCATGCACATAGCAAAGCTCAGACAACTGAGAATAGAGACAGCCGGCTAGGTCATTGTCGTAACGCTGGGTTTCATGCACATAGCAAAGCTCAGACAACTGAGAATAGAGACAGCCGGCTAGGTCATTGTCGTAACGCTGGGTGTCATGCACATAGCAAAGCTCAGACAACTGAACTTTGCTATGTTTATACATGAGTAGTATGTGTCGGGTGGGTTCGGAGTAGGCACATGGCCCAGCCCGAAAATATGGGGTACTATACAAGACCATGATTGAGATACGAGAGGTACCTGGTTCAAGTCCTGCTTGGGAGCGGTTTTTCCAGCCGTGCTGCTACCCACAGTCAACTGGGAACTTGTGGCCAGGCACAAGGGGTACATGGATGCAGCTAATGGGGCCGTTCTCGGCACTTGTGCCAGTGGTTGTGAGACTTATCCACTCACCCCCACCGTTAGGCGCTGCATCTGCCGCTAGGATTTACGGGGTGTTAGCGGCCGTCGTGAGTTCCCTTCGGGAACGGACACGATAATTTACTCTTTTTTTTTTACAAGCCCATGTAATTCCACGTTAACATGGACACATGGACATGCATATCCACGTGGATACATGGATGCATGGACATTTAAGAAATGTAAAAAACAAAAAATAAGAGGATGTAAAAAAGAGAAGAAACACATAAGAACGAGTTATGCACCAACAATCTCATGTGTTTCTTCTCTTCTTTTTTTTTGTACATTTATTACTGGCTCAGTATCCGAGTTGAAATAAGAGGACGGGAAAGTGTTTGAAAACATTTGTCCGTCCTCGTATTGTTTGAACTAGCTCTGCCTCTCGATATTGAGCACTTTCCTGAGCAGCCTGGAACCTCTCTGGTTTATAAGACACTTATGCATGGACACATGGACATGTGTATCCACGCGCCGTACTTTCTGGTGGCGCTACGAAAGTTTGCAACAAAAATCCCCAGTATGGTCACATAATTTGCCAATGCAAGGCTGAGGAAACACCTCCTCGTTGAGGTGACTTTTGGCAGCATAGTAGTCCAGCAAATGGCATGTCGGATATTCTAATTTTCCCAAACCCTGCAGTACTGGGCCAGGCTCGCCAATAATTGACCAATGGTTTATAGATGTTGCCTTTAATTTACTTCACCATACATGTAGGTACAGAAATTGCTGGCTTCTTTCTGTGGATCATATAAGATGCCACAGCTTCTAGGCTATGATTAGATCCGCCTGATAGTTTTGTGCCAGGAAAATATTATTATATCACATGGTAGGCCATTCTTTGCAGCTCACCAGCATGTCCCTTTGCATACTTTTACCAACTGGCATTGGTGCGCTGCTAATGGGCTTCTTTGTCCTAGCTTCTCTCCTTTCCTGTATCATGACGTGAAAGTACAGGATGTGTAAATGGAAAAATCCGCTGAGCAAACTGAATATCTCAAAACGCTCTGGCCATGAGGCCAGTCCCATAGGCTCGATCCAGGGCTACAACAGCCTCGAAGGCACAACGTGCAATGCTGTGTACCTACAGAATGACTGAAGAAGACGGAAGCTATAGTGTACATTTAAATTTCTACAAAATACAGTTACATGTACGTTTGTGTCACCCCGTGCTCGGGTATGATACCAAGTAGGCAATAAAGTTTGAATAAACCCATTCTAAATATTGTGCTCGGATACTGAACCAATCATACAATGAAAAGTACAGTGCTGGCAACTGAAATCCGACCCCTGAGCGGTGCGCTCAGCTGATCAGGGGGTCGGATTTCAGTTGCCAGCACTGTACATGAGAACACAGGAGTACGAGTTATGAAGCAAATGAAGTAACTGTTCACCCATGCAACAGTAACACGATACACGTCTACGGTCATGTAGGATCGAAGCACGAAGAGTGCAATTAGATAGTAGCAACTGGTTCTTCACAATTCGCGAAAATTGCCTTCGTATTTATCTATGATATTTCCGATCCACCCAAGAATCTCAGCCAACAACACGTTTCATTGACCACAGGTACGCCACCGACATGAGGGTCAAAAGTGTGGATGAAGATCCAAAACCTATGCAAAGCGCCAGTTATTCACGGCGAGAAAATCCAATGTTCCCCTACTCCTCTCCTAAATGCACTGGACAGACTATGGTTAGTTAAAAATCTAGGGCAGAAAAGCGAGATATTGGGGTAGGTGTGAAGCTCACATGATGGAGAGGGATACAGGGCCATTGTATTATAGAAAGGTCTAATGGCGCCGCTCACGATTCTATAGCTAATCTCCAGATTTACAGAAAAACAGTTCCACACGTAATTGCTGCTCTACAGTTATTCATAAGAACTATACTCTCCCAAACCCAACAGAATAGGGCTTGAAGCTTCTATCTAACAGTAGGCCTAAAGGCATGATAAATGATGGCTTTTGGATCTACATGGACCGTACTGTTGCATAGATGCATGCATGTTCTTGTCTTTCGTATTTTGTTGACCCAAACGCCAGACAGATTGGCTGGACCTGGTCTTCCTGGCCCTGGGAACACTACAGTTACAGAAAGACATCACAAGTGCGTGCAACACCAACACAAGTGTCTTACCCACCACGCACAACAATGAGCAATGCGCGTCCAGCGTGTCCCAGCAATTGTAATCTGTCTGTGTGTCTGTGTGTCTAATCTTCCACCAAAATTAATTTCAAGTCATAGAAATGAAAATAGGCCGTCAGTGGACATATATTAGAACTCTCATGGTACACGTCCTTTGAGCTCTGGACGCCATACGCACACTGCAATCAAATCCAGGACAAATACTGAAGATTATGAATCCTAATTTAAGGCATAAAGAGCATAATCTCACTTACTGATCCTAGCTGTGCAATAAAATATAAACGTTTTGCTCTCGCAAATCAAATACTTCATCAACATATCTCTAAATGAAAACAGAAAACCTAACAGAAAATCTTTATCTCCTCTAAATTTAGTGAAAATGATATCCAGCCGCAATAACATGTGCCAAGGTAATGAAGGAAAAACGAGAATATAGGCCGCCATCGGACATGAAATATATGTAGATGATAAAGATAATAATGTTAATACACGTCTTTTGAGTCCTGGACATAATAACCATACTGCAATGAAATTTTGGATGAATATGCAAGATAACTAAGCCTAGCTGTGTAGTAAAATAGAAACCTTTTCTTCTCGCAAATGAAATACCTTACCAACATATCTCTCAATGAAAACAGAAAGCCTAACAGAAAACCTTAATCTCCTCTAAGTTAAACGAAGGGTTGCACAGTGAGGCATGTATCTCGCTCTTCAAATGACGATATCCAGTCCCTTGAACATATACGTAGGTAAGTAAACAAGAACCAAAAATAGTAACAAAAATCTCAAATAGCTTTCTTAAATGTCCTTGCTTGCCATAAATAGAAATGAAGCAAACCAGACATGCATAAATAAAACAGCACCTAATATAGCGATTGGATATGAACGTGAGAAACATTTCTGGGATGAACAATTTTGAAGCAAACATCTGCATGCGTTTTACATCTACTTTTAGCAACAGAATAGAATGCGTGATTCTCGAGGAACTGTATGAAGAGAGAAGGGCTGCTTCCACCGTGATAAACTAAGAAAATTTAATGTTTAGCACAAAATGTAGTTACGCTGGTAGTTGGAAAATGCATGCGTAGGAAAAATAGCGTACAAAGCAGTTGTATATCTAAAGTACTTATAAGTGGGTTCCACTGTTCATGTAACACACTGGCTGGATCTTTAAGCAGTGTTAGCAGCACTTGTTTCATTCCCATCTCGCGTGCTATTATATTGAGTACCAGGTTTAGACATGTTTATCCTCGTTCCTGCAAATATTATCAAATGAGCACAGGAAACAGATAATAAAAAAGTAAATTATCGGGTCCATTCCCGATGGGAACACACGACAGCCGTATACACCTGGCAAACCAATTATTACAACCATAATGATTGAATGAGCTCGATCTCATCAAACACACTTCTATTACCCTCTATTGTTAGTATAATTATACTGATATTTGACCGCTGAAGACCGATTCGCACTACAAATTTCTGCCACGCGACACGCGATTTGCGACCGCTGCGGCAAGAAGCTGTCTGTCACGAGCTATCGCGCACAGTCACAAGGCACCTGTCGCAGAAGATGAAGAAAGTTTAAATTCTGCGGCATGCGACCCACGACCATACACAAATGGAGTGATGAGAAAGAAATAACTGCTCCATCCACTGCATGTAAAGTCCCTTGAGAGCACATGCAGTAGAGTATGAACTAAATCTACCCTCTAAACCTGGTGCATAAGTTACAAGTGCTTCCTCAGGATTACGTGAGAGGAAGCAGAAGCTTCCCGTCTACTCATCATAGAATTTGTTCCAGCTAAACTACAAATGCACTATGGCTGAGTTCATTCTATTGGCCAATATCTAAAACTTGGAGTCACGTTGTTGATGTGAACGAGGTTAGGCAGAAAGCACATATTGTCGAGGTGAAACAACCTCATTGCTTTCTCCACAATCAAAAAAATCAGTACTTTTCTTGAGCTATCTGTTTCAGTAAATTGAGCTCTGAGGAATCCGGTGAGACCGAAATGGTGCAAATATTTTTTTATTATCAATGTAAAACGTTTTTTTGGAAAAATAAATCAACTTGCAATATCAAATTTGGACTTCACGGAGAATTTCAAAGTGTAAGGAAATTAGAGGCCACAGTAAATCGACTCATTGTTTTGAATGTTGCTTGCTATACTAAGCCAAATCTTTGAGGATACAGTAGAATGACGACTTTCCGGTTGTCAACTATCCGGATGATCAATTTTGCAGATCGCCTGGCCGGCCTGGACTATAGAAGGCTTTTGAAATATAGTTAAGAAATTAGATGGTGAGCCAAGGAAGATACTGCAACCTGGATAATGTGGGCACACGTTATGCGATCGAGGCCACTAACTTAACCAGATTTGGAACGGTCAGACGTGCACAATCTAGCACAAAACTGACAAGGAGTACTGAGACATTCCATGGCATGAAAGTCAGCTTCAGCACTGGTCGATAGCGCTAATCAACGGCCTACCAACTTGGAAGGCGCAAGGACGAAAAAATCTGGTTTTGTTGGTGGACTCGATCGCATAACTTGTGCCAACATTTTTCCATGTTAAAATGTAGTTAAGAAGAGGTTGGTGCGACTTCGGCGATAGTAGGGGAAGAGTGTGTTGCTCACTATGGGAGCTCGCGGTTTTGTTCAGGACCTTCATGAGCGACACTGACGCACGATGCTATCAGGTGTTCACAAAGTGTTTGTCGCGCTGGAAACGGAGTATCTCTGTAATTTTGTATTCCTGGTGATGTTTGTGCCTCGAGAGCACTCTATAAGTGGTGCTCTTCAGGCACATCCTTCCTCAGCCTAGTCAAGCTCAACTGATGAGGGGTGAATTCCCCGAAACACTGTGTATTGAGCAGGGAGTGGTGCTTTCTCGCAGGTTTGCCGAGTGGAAGGTTCGATGGACTTCTCGTGTGCTCTGGATGGCAGTCGTGAGTCAGTCAAGTGAGAATTCAAGTCGGCAGGAAAAACCGCGAGCTCCCATGTAGGGAGCAACACAAAATGTAGTTAATCCCTACATGTAAGTACGCCATACTCGAGCGATTAGAGCCATCTCTTAAATAGTGCCCTATCTCGTATAGCACCCTAGTCTCCCCCCAGGGCTTGTAACCAAGTGCATGTGCACGTTTGTTATCCTTTGAAATTTTTGGTAATTTCTTGTCAGGATCATAATCGCAGCTCTTGTTGCCCTTTCTGTTGAGTCGTGGTAGTTAACAGTAAACATTAGGCTCGGTATTTCTTTGCCTTCTTTGTTTTTTATGCGGGAAGACGTAAATCTACCAGTAATAAAAAATAGTGCCCTCTCTTGAATAGTGCCTAACCTGTGATGGACATTGAAAAAATTGGGCCCCAGGGGCAATGATTGCGCGAGTACGGGATGAACGAATAAGTTGGTGCTTGTAATGTCGTCGTTTCCATCTTTGTTTACAACAGCCTTGGCATTCTCTGTGTATTAGAGTGTCACACCTCAACCCTACCCGCTTATTCATATCCATTCCTCTACCTCCTCTTATCTAACCTTGTGTTCTCACCTGCATCCTTGATCATGGCTATGATTCAAATAGGCAGCTTCTTATCATCCACATCGTCTCACCAGTTACACTTGTAGCAGAATATGGTTTTAACAGGCTCCATTTCGCTGCTCTGTGGAGTGATTGCCCTCGCAACCTTCACGATTCAGGGACAGTCGGCTACATACGTCGAGTGACCAAGGTGAAGAACGACCTGCTAAAGCTGGGGGTGGGTTGAGGGGGGGGGGGGGGGGGGGTGGACAGTGTCATCGACACAACTCTACATCAAGGAACCACACTTGTTCAATGTTTTTTTCGACGGGTTCAAATACCGGGCAGGTCAAGAACAAGGAGTCGTACAACTCCCTGGTCAAGAACCACCTTTCCGCTTCCGTGGGACGCCACCACCCCATGATCAGGCATCAGATGCGGCTAATAAACAGTGGGGGAGGATAGATCAGATCCACCAACCAGAGGCCAAAGGCCTAAATCCCATTTGCCCCATCCATGTTTTACTCCTGCCAGGCCAAGAGTTCACAATTACGGGTCGCAGCACGGTTGGAAAAAATCCTTCCGCTTCCAAGCAGGACTTGAACCTGGTGCCGTGTGGTGAGCGTCGGAATTCAAAGAATGGGCTTTCGCCATAGATCTCACAATTTGGTCGCTATGATTGGAAGGCCGAAAGGTTCCAGGCCTGGGAGAACATTCTAAAGGCTTTCTGTTCCCACCCTGCAGACCCATGTGCTGAGAGAGCATCCGAAAAGCCTGTCAAAAGCGGTATGAGAGGCCGTCACTGCTGATCAGTGGATGAGAACATGGAACTCGGGCTGCAAGCGGACGCTGCAAGAGCCTCAGTCACAAGAAGGGGATGCGAGCAACAACCCGCCCCCCCCGACTCGCCAGTTCCTTAATGACTACCTGACAGCGCAGAGGCAGATTGTCTGTTTTCAGTGCAATAAGCCTTCGAATATATGGGCCTCAACCAGCGAAAACAGCCCTTAGGGTCAACATTTTCAAAATTCCTTTTTGGTTAGAAATTTGTTGAACCATATCTACTGAAGGACCTCAGCCAAGAAAAAGTTCAATATTCCGATTCTAAACGGGTGTATACACCAATATACAAGGTGTACCCCAAATTGGTGCAATGTATGTATACGATGTATGTGTACAATGAATATTCAGCATTCGAAGGTGAGTGGGCAGCTTGAATATTTTTGAAATAGTGCAGTAAGCAGCTATAATGACAAAGAATAGCTGATGATATGAGTGCGGAGAAATGATCGACATATTCGCAGCTGCATCCTGCGTGGAGTCGTTCCGCAATCTCGTCTTCCATTTCTTCCTCCGCAGCTGAAGACACGACGTCGCTGCCGTCACTAGCCCCAGACTCAGAATTTATCTCAGGTGACGACTCCTCATCTCCCGACTCGGACGAGTCATCGGCCACCTTGAGCCGCATCGCAGCATGAGATGACGGCTGCGATTCCGCCTCACTGACGACATGCGGATGTCGGAACCAAAGAACGTCTCATCCTTATTCTGAACTTCAGCGGCTACTTCAGCGTCCACTCCCGGATCCCCACCAGGCTCGAGCTAGCTGTAGACAATGACTGCCGTGTGTGCGCTGCGAACAGCTCTGGCGTCCGCATCCATCGAAGCAAGATCAAGGAACACTGGAGTCGCCACTCGACACCACTTCAACTAACTTCAAAATAAATTACTTCAAGCAAGGAGTTCAAGAAGTCGTCGCGCTGTTCGCAGCGCGATCAAAACAATCGTTGAACGTCACAAATCGACCTTTTTCTCGAAAAAATTACGAAATCTCTAAGGGTCGTTTTCGCTGATTGCAGCTCATATTGCGATCAACGAAAACTGAACGGCACATCCAAACCAGCACAACGGAATTAAAAGAATGGCCGCCAGTAAGGGCAGGTGTGCGACTAGTGGCTAGTCAACCAGCACTCAAGAATAGTACTCCAATTCAGACCAGTAATATATTCAGTAGGTTGGAAGGTGAGGAGCCGTCCAACGAAGTAGATGAGGCCACAGAAATAGACGCAGCAGCTACTCTCCGCGCGACCAAGGTCGAAATTAGCTTGGGGAACATCATTTCAGATAATGAGCAGGACCTGTTTCGCGTGCAGGGCAAAATCAGCGACCGCCGTGTGACAATGCTGATGGGCTCTGGGGCAACGCACGATTTTATATCCGAGGACCTCGTCAAGAAGCTGGACCTTTCAACGACAACCAATACCGATGTCCTTAACGTTACACTACCCGATGGTTCTTCACGCTCCCAATCCAAGCAGATTACCGAACCACTCAAGACGGTCGTTGGGGACTTCGCTCTAACGAGATCACACAGGACAGCGAGCCGATACGTGCCAAGCAAGACACAACCACGATGCGCAGCAACCTGTGGAGGCGTTCATTATTTACGGCTGTCACGGCTGCCACGCATTAAAAATGGAAGGAGAGGAAGTACTCGGGTGTATAACGGTAGCAGACAATGAAACGGAAACAGGAATGTGCCCTCTGGGTCAACTTCGCTAAAAACGACTGCGGATATAAGTCATATTACGACAATTCGCGAATAACGACAGAATTCCCATGTCCAGAACAAAGTCAAATCTAACCGTATACATACACATGTAATGAGAACTTGGATATAAGGACACTTCGCGAATAGGGACACTTTTCTGATGCCCCGCTGAGTGTCGTTTTT